CTCCCTAAATGATCAAAGCTTAAGTTGAGCTACAACATCCTACGCAGTTAAACAACCAAACAAAGCAAAGACTTATTTCAGCTATTGTAACCAAGAACTAATCCTGTAAACTTGTAAATAAAAAAAGATTTTTTTTTTTTTTAAAAAAGAGCTCATTAAAAAAAAAAAGAACTAATCATATAAACCCCGCCAAACCAGAGACCAAAGATCTTCCTGCAAATTGCAATTTTAGACAGTCAGCTAAGCCAAACGTGAGTCGCTTAATTAAATAATAGATCAAATAAAGTTATTCAGGGGAAAACAAATCTTTCTTTGAAATCAAGAACAGAAAATGTGGTTACACTTAATGATCCGAAATAGATAGATATACAAAGAAAATCATGTGCTGTTGAATCAAAAGTCTTGTATTAATAAAACAGAGCAAAAAAAAAAAAGCACTTAAAAGGACAAATCTTTTTCCAATTAATTTATGAATATGTTTATTAAAAAAGAAAAGGAAAATATCAGCTTGACATAGATACTTGTTTTTGTCAAACAAGTACTAAAACACATAAACTTTTGGGTTAAGACAATCATTCACTTCTCCCCTGTAGAAGGTTTCGCTTAGTTTTTGGGTTTCAATATATTATAAAGTGTTGCTCCACCTGAGGTACGAAACACACACAAAAAGAAAGAAGCAATCACGAATTTGTTTTTCATCTCTAATCTCAAATTTATAAATTTACGGATAATTAATCTCAACATTACCAGCAAGTACGGAAGCCATAACTGCAGTCTGCCCAATATTCTCAGCTCTCGTAAGTTCCACTCCTCCCTGCAATTGAAACAACAATCGCAAATCAAACCATAGGATCCGAAAACGTTACAGATTTTCATGTTGAATCCAGGAGAAAACGTACCACTTACCACAGGTGATACAAGGCTCTGAAGAAAAATTTCGGCGAGATAAAACCGATCACCCTCCTCCTCGAGATACATGCGCAACGACGGTTCTCAGCATCGGCGTCATGCTCGTAAATTAGGGTTCGCTCTCTGATCTCTGATTTCTCTTCGAAAGGGGAAATATATGTAGTATACGACCAAATAAGACTCCGTTTTCCTTTTATCCCACGATATCGTTGGGCCTTAAATGGGCTCGTCTTCTTCTTTATTTTAAACATATAAATGGTTTTTACACATCTTATTTCGGTTTATAAATTGGTAAATTACTTCGGTTTAGACATTTAATTCAAGTTATTTCTGGTTAGATTTGGTTTTATAGTATGTTAAGAATTAAGATGAATAATAACAAAAGTTTCTTGACTTGAGACAAGACCGATCTGGTTTGGATTTTATGGCTTTTTTCTTGTTAGATTTGGTTTTACAATCTCTTAAATCTGTATTGGTTTGGTTATTGATAACTCTATAATCCATTTTTTCTATWWGAATTATTTTAACAAATTGACCCTTACAGTTACTTGATATTTGGTTCTTTATTTTTTCGTATATTAAGAGATTATGCCCCATTGATTTTTCGTTTAGCAAAGTTAAGAATTATTGTTTTTCACAAACAAATACTAATTAATAGCAACACAACCATAAGATAATTGTTTCTCACAGAAATCCTATGGGTTTCAATTGATAAAACTCCCCTTTGGGTTTTAATTGATAAAACTCCCAAATTTTAAAAACAAAATAAAAACATACCACAAATTTACGAAGTGCTTTATACCCACCAATGTAGATCGTACAAATCATTGCATAGGTGAGGTATCACTCCTGCCTCCGAAGCTGCAAATGAAAAACAAGAATCACTAATCGAAACCCTAGTTATTATAATATGTTGGATGAATACATCACAACATGCCTAAATAACATCATTTACCAGCCACTCCTTCGGTTCCACTCCTCCCTGCAATTGAAACAACAATCACAAATGAATAAATCGAAACCCTAGGATCCGAACTCGAGAATTTGACGAAAAAAAATCATGTTGAATCAGAAAACGTTACCACAGCTGAGACAACGCTCTGAAGAAATATTGCGGCGAGACAAGATAGATCTCCCTTCGCGAGATACCTGCGCAACGATGGTTCTCAGAATCGGCGTCATGGTCATCAATTAGGTTCTCTATTCTTCGTATCTGATTTGTAAGGGGAAAATATGGTAAGCTGGGAATTGTCCACGGATTTAAAAATTAACATGAATATGCAATAGTTTTTAGCTAATTGAATATTTGTGCATTTAATATTAAAGTCATTTAGAGTTTATAGTATACTAGAATATGATCTGCGTTAATACGCGGGTAAATACTATAAAAACTAATGAAA